CAGGCCTATAAAACATCCCCAGAATATAGCATAAGCAGTTCAATTCAGTGCAGCTCAGTTTAGTCTAGCATAGTAATTGTTCTAAGCGGCTTGTACTCCGTTATAGAAAAAACATTTTTTTTAAAGAATTATAGCGTATAAGTTATTATATGTATGTACATATGTATGTGCCTTTATTGTATGTCATGCCAGCGTAGCACCTCATCTGGTTGTGTACATGTATGTATGTGTTTATTTCTGATCCATATTGATTGAAGTAATACAGAGTAAATGAAACCAAGGGATTTATTATGTAGCGCCGAATGTGCGGCTAGAGACTCGTGTTTATTTGTTTTTATTGGTAATATACATCATTTAAATATTTATTGGAAATATTGAAAGTGCACCAAATTAGTTAAATTTATTTTATTCTCTTTTATATTAATTGGGACTTTATATATTTATGCGTTAATATATATTTGTATTGTCATCTAATATATTCCACTAAAAATGTTTTTGATTGTGAAGGGGATATTAAAATACAATGTCAATGAGAAACCTCATGTCCGCTTATTCAGCTGAATTTGCTTAAACAGATATAGACTTTTTCTCTGTTCTATTTCTAGACGATAAAAATGTGAATGCAAACAAGTAAGAAAGCTCTAGTCGAGACTGGTCGACTTCGAGATCCCCTGAACCCTTCAAGCAACTGATATTTCAATAATTATTCTCAAATGCACACACACACGCACACACACATGCATACGCACGCACGAATAAATAAAATAATAAAAAAATAAGCTAATATTTTAGAATTGTTTTCTTTATATTTTAATAGATAGATACACGTACAAATATTGTAACAAACATTTCATATTCATGAAAAACAAACGAAAATAATTGATATTTTAACATTATGCATTTTAAATGTTCACATTGAACACACATCAGCAAACGGCAACACTCATTGAGGACGACGCGTTCATACATACGGACGGACGGACACACAGACGGACAGTGCTAAATCGACTCAGCTCGTCGCCCTGATCAAAAATATATACATACGTATGCATTGTGGGATCTGCCACGCTTCCTTCTGCCTGTTACATACGATTAGCAAAACCATTATACCCTGATTTCCCATTTTCAATGGGTTCAGGGTATACAAATGACCGAAACTTTAGACATGCACGCAAATATACAATATTCACCTATGTAAATATTCTCGTTTTAATAAGGGTTTTGATGATAGGTAAAAAAACATATTTAGGGTGACCATCCGTCCTGGAATTCCGGGACATGTCCCGCTTTTGGAGGTAATGTCCCGGTGTCCCGACCTGACACGAAATTGTACTGGTTTTCAATTGTTTCATATATCCATATAGCTCAATTTAATTTTGTGTTCATAAATCATTAAATATTGATGATAGAAATGTCATTTAAATATGTTCGGAAAAATAGGCAGTGTGGAGAAGTATAACTCAGGCAATCATATATATAATAACAATTAAATATAAGGATGTATTCATATAATATAATTTAATTATGCTAAATATCAAGAAAGTAAAAGTTGAATTTATGTGTTTATTTAAAATGTTTTTTTTTTTTCAAAGAGGGGGGGGGGGGGGGTGTTGGTAGTTCTTGACAGTCCCAGAATGGGCTCCGGCCCAGATGGTCCCCTAACATATTGCGATTAGACTTAATCGACTTATTAATGCTTCACACAAATGCATTACGATTGCACCTCATCAAGATACTGAAAAGTTCCTACGATATAATGGGTCTTTTTGTATTACGAATCTTCTCAGAACCATATGGAAAGTCACGCTGGCTCTTTAAACTGTGGATAATAGAATATTTGTTCACCTATTCTTGTTTAGAAAATAATAATAGAAATAAGCAAGTGGATATCAAATTAAATTTCGTAGATAGAGCATTTATTTTCTTGGCATGCTTCAGCGTTATAGGAAACGTATTTACTTTTTGTTTTGGCAATAAACTATTTGAAACACATTAAACGTAATCACCAGCTGCCGCATAAGTCCTGGGACAGTTCTTTTCCGCATACTTTACATACGCAGCGTTGGATCCGACTTTGATACGCTCTCCCCTAGAGAGCTTGTTCCACATGTGTATCATAAATGAATCCTTAGTTCTTGCCAATGTTTCCTCCAGGTACCTGGGCTCAGTGAAATGTCTCCACTCTTTAAAATGAATTGAATAGAATGCAGTCTTATTAAATAGTCGAAAACCCTTGCAACTCCTACGACCGCCTTCCATGGCTTTCATGAGGTTGGTGCCACAAAATTTCAATATAACGGCTGTTACAAGAGCTGGTCCATTTCGTACATAGTCTTTCCCATTGAAATCTTTTGCATATTGCTCTAAAAATAGTTCAGCAATTTCATGACCTATTCCATCGGCTGTTAAACCAATGACACCATTGGCCAGGGTATAATTAGATTGAGCTCCCACATAGTTCAGGGGCAATTTCTCTAAGCTCTTCAGGACAATAATATCCATGTCTAAATAGATGCCTCCAAACCGATAGAGACTTATGAGGCGGAGTAGATCAGATGTGTGCTCCATCGGATATCTGTGAGTTAAAGTAGGTGAATTACGCCGCTCTTCACATGAAATTAAAACTTACCTAGAGTTAAGCAATTCCCCTCTTTTTACCCAATCTTCAATAGGAGTGTTCATAGCATAGTTCCTCAGATTCAGGTGACGAAAGTTCACGTTCTCATAGCTTTCGATGGCATCGACGAGAAGTTTTTGACGACCGACGAGAGAACGATAGGTGGGACAGGAAAATACAGTAAAGATTTGGAAGTTGGGATTATTCAGAGCTGCCGATTCTATGGAACAGACTTGWCGAGCCGTCAGATTCATGACATAGTAACGTGAATTTCTATAAGTGCAGCTGGTCTCATGAAAGAAAATGCTGCGTCCTGGCGGTGGCTGTAAGCTTGAGTA